AATCTTCCTAAAACCCTGCAACCATATCCACCTCGAAAATCCATGAATTTCTTTCATGGGTTATCCATGTATTAAGCTTATAAATTACTTCTTCCCGGAACGTTCTTAAAATATTTTCAAAATTCAAGTCAAATCTCAAAAATTTAAAATGAGCAACAGCTTAATATATACGATTATGAACGTAACAAAATGGTTATCAAACAGAACAAATCAAAAACTTGGAATTGAAATCCAGTCTTCACTTTTGTCACTATAAGCATACCAAGTAGTTGTTTGGAATTGGTTCTTAATGTATAAAATAATATTTCTGAAAAAAAATATATAAATTGTATTTCAGGATTGGGATGTTAAAATAAATAAGAAAATTGGCAATAAATTAAATTGGGTTATACTGACATAAGTGTTGAGCTGGCGGATGAAGCTGGAGAAATTGGAGTGCTTGAAGTATTTGGGGAGAAGAGTGATGGAGAGTTTATGAGAATCCCAAACAATGAAGCTATTACCACCTTCGCTCCAAGATACAACCGGGTCGGTTTCCGGATCCTCCACCATCTCATACGTCTTCTTCAGGAACGGCGCCGGCCCCACCTCATGCAACCCTTCCATTGGTTTCGCCGTCGCCGATGACGCCGAAACCCCATCACCGCCGCTATCAGATTCGCCTCCCCCGCCCTCCATCGTCCCTGCGCTTACTTCTATCTCCTCTTCCTTGACAGTCCTTTGATCCATGATGTCACCGCTTGCAGTTGCAGCGCCGTCGGGGCAGCCACCGCCACCGTCAGAGAGGATTGTTTGGTTAATCATATTCACTCAAGCGTAATAAACCGCAGAGAAATTGTTTCCGATAAGGTTGATAGATCTCAGTGGAAACGTCTAATCGCTACTGAAAATGGAAAGAGTGTACAAAAAATTCCTTAACTAAGGATGGAATATTTTGGATTGATTTAATGACAGAAAAACGAAAAATAAAAGTATTTATGGATAAAATTAAAAATATAGTATAAATAATTATTTGGGTTAACCTTTTCATTTTTGTTATCAAACTTAAAAAATCTGAAAATTATGTATCAAATATAAAATTAAAAAAACTAAAATTATAATTTATTAAGGAATAAAAATGTATTAGCTTTTAAGATATTAAATCAGGGAGTGAGCTTCTCGTTTAACTTTAATCATATAAAGAAAATAACTTCTGTCGCATTTGAGTTTAGAAACAGATATCCGGAGAATACTACTAATCGGCTGACGCGGTGATCGTTCTGCATGACTGCCACGTGGCATTTAGACCACTCTCCAAGTAATGGCCCCCTTCATCGTTTCAGCAGGAAAATGGAATTTACACTGAAGGCCCTCAGGCCTACGTTAATTACCAAAATGTCAAAATACCTGCACTTAATTATTTGAAAGAAATACCACAATTTTAGAATTACGCTTTGATAAATTTGGCATAGAATTGAATGAGACATTTTAATATTCCTTAAAAATTTATGACAAAAGATCTGAATATATAATATAATAATAAATAAAACAGGTTCGAAAAATAATAACTTCACATAAAAACAAATCCCAACATTCACGACGGACAACGCAGCAGACCAAAAACCCCATCCATCCTCTTCACAAACCACCGACGAATTGAAGGCAAAAAAATAATAATAATAATAATAATAACCATAAAGGAAAGGGAATGGACTCTCCTAAATCCCCATTTGAAGTAAAAATCATAGACAATAGAGAGCAAGCAATAGATTCCGCAGATCCTCAACACTCTTTTTCCAACCAAAAATTACTTGGAACAGCGGACTCCCAAAACACAAGACAGTCTCACCGACCAATCAAATTCCATTCCCCTACTGCTGCTTGCATTCCGGAGGCCTCTCCCCCTGCTGACCATCACCCCCAGCTGCTGCTGCTCCTCTTCCACCCTTCTGTACAGACCAAACAAATTTACAACAATAATATGTTACATAAACGCACATTCGAACATGTTCATGAAATGGAATATATGGAATATAGAATATGGAATGGAAGGTACCTTGTTCCCAGCTGACAACTGCTATCACCGCAATACAAGCCAAATCCAATCAAAGATGAAAAAAGATTGTCAATTCCAACTTCTAAATGGAGAAGAATATGCATAGAAACAAGCCAATCCGAACTAAAAAAGAATTGGCATACCTTTTTCCTGGACTTCCCTTGATCTTCATCCTCGTCTTCGTCATCATCATCGTCGTCATCATCTTCCTCTTCATCTTCATCCTCCTCCTCATCATCATCATTGTCGTCGTCGTCATCATCCTCGTTGTCCATGTCCTCAAAATCCTCATCTTGAATTGCCTCCCCTGTAAACCATGAGACAGCATGGGGGATGATCTTGTCTCGAATGGTTGACCTACAGACAGAATTAAACAAAAATAAAGATTTCAAAATCTGCACAACTCTTCAGATCCATTCAAACAATAACACAGTCTTGTGTTTGAGACAATTTTATTTCACAAAAAATTCAACATATATAGCACATTAACATATATAGCACATTACCCATTAACATACGAAGTGTCAAAAGATTAAGCATGTCTACAACTCACCCAATATCATAATCTTGCTCCATCTGATTTTGAAGCTCCTCAGCCTGATGAACCAGAGTAGAAATAAGAGAACAGAAAAATCAAGGAAATATACTAGTGATATTTTTCACTCTGTAGGGGTAATAAACCTACGGTATCCTCATCAATATCTTCATCATCATCGGGCACTTGTGGTGGACTAAAAAAGTTGAAAAAACTTTCACAGTTTTCAGTCTTGGTGATTGGCTTGGCATTCTTTGATCCCTTCTTCGGCTTCTTCTTAAGTAGTTTCTGAGTCAGGCATTTTCCGGGATACCATTCAATCTCGGTTCTGCCAACAAGATATTATCATTTTCTGTGAATGTGTAACTAAGTACTTCTGCGTATGCCATCTCAAACTATATAGCAAAAATAAAAAAAAAATATCAAACACAGATGAGGCTGAATGAAATTACCCAATTGCTTTCTCAAGAATTGGCTCATCTTCGTCAATCATGTGATATGTCTTCGACAAGACAGAATTTTTAAAGAAGGGATTAGTATCAAAAAAGAAGTCAATCTTGAACCCTTTGGGATTGTCTATTCTACACCACTTGATATCTTTCAAGTATTTGAGAGCTCCTTCGTCGCGTTCAGTAATCTAAAATAAAACATGTGAGATTAAGATGCACAGTGATGTAACTAGTTAGTCAAACCATTCTTCAAACACGTGAAAACAACACAAACCTCTTCAGCTAATACTTCATTATTCTTCATGGCAGAAAGCCAAAAATCTGGTACTCCTTTTTCTGAAAAGGCAAACAATACTTAATACAAGCAATTTAAATTGTATATTAAACGAATGATGTCCCAAGTGACGATATAGAATTACCTGCTGCTTCTTTATCCTCTTCTTGTCCAGCGGGAGATTCTTTGGCAACTCCTTCAGCTTCAACAACACCATTAACAATATCGAATCGCTGCAAAGACATAGGAATGAATCAACGACTAAACAAGACGTGCAATATTATGACGGCTAGTAAGAAAATATCCACACCCGAGAGTACAGTGGCTGATACAATTTCTGGTATTTGGCCTCGAGCGCCAACCTTTCTTCAAAAAATTTTGCCTCTAATTCGTCATGTTGGCTCTGTTGAACGAGATGATTTAATAAATACTTCCAAAACAAATAAAAAAACTCGTGGAATTCTCCAAGTCGATAACAAGCAATCACAAAAACAGCAGAAGAATGAAACCAAAAAAGACCTAATAGTGAATATCAAACGAAATGAGAAAATACACTTGCCTGTATCTCTCTTAGCGCCTCAACGCGCTTGCGAACAACAGGTGACAAATTCTCAAGGACATCAGAGTGCTGCCCAGCGAGGCTCTGTATCTTACTCTGCACGGCACAGAAACCCCAATTAAAATCAACCACCACTAAAACCAACCCCAAGAAAATTTCATCCAACTATTGTTATAATCTAAACAAGTATGCAAACAGGGCCATTCAAATGCGCAAACCAAAACAATTAGAAAGTGTGGAAGAGTATATTCCTGATTCTAGTGGCATCCCACTACAATCAGACGATAAAAAAGAATAAGAGAATCAATTGAAGTACCTTGAGAGCGTTGACGAGACCTGCTCGATCCTCCTCATTGAGAGCTTCAAAATAAAAAACCATAAACCCCTCGAAATCAATTCGCGAAAAAGAACAAGCAATGGAACATCGATAAAGAAAAAGAGGAAGAATTTGAATACCAGAACCGAGATCCGAGACGTTGAAGTTGTCCTTGTTGTTGCTCATTGAGAATCTCAGGAAACAGCTGCGGAGAGAAGGGGAAAAAAAAGGAGGAAGCGAAGGTGGAAACCTAAAACCCTAGATTGAATACGAGCGAGGAAAAAGGATTGAAAAGGGCCACCAAAACGTGGCCGACCTTTAATATCCCGTAGCACACTTGTTCGATACCTAACGCTCACTCCCATTTATTTCAATTTATAAGGAAACGCCCCCAGCGGCGCCGAATTTAGGGGAAACAATAATTTAATTAATTTTAAATTAAATCGTCGGAATTGGGCTTCGTTACGAATTGGGCTGGGCTCCCTCGGCGTTCGGCCCATGTATTTTAATTATGATTTAGACATTTTATTATTGCGACAAAGTTAAATATTTAAAATAATAAATCCGATTAATTTCAATAATATTCAAAATAGGAATATATAAATAAATAATTATTTCCAAAATTTTATTGGCACAAATCCAAAGCAGCCCGGCCCAATTATGATATGAAGCCCAATAAAACTTCGAGGCCCATTTGTTGTTCCGGGCAGGCACAGAGGTGTGACCGAAAGGGAGGGAAAACACCCCCGCCAGGAGAGAGAGAGAGAGAGAGAGAGAGAGAGAGAGCGAGAGAGAGAGAGAGAGAGAGAGAGAGAGCGAGAGAGCCAAAAAATAAATAAATAAATAAAATCAGAACTCTAATAAACCCTAAAAAAGATCAGAGCTCAGTGCATGTTCTTAAATGGCCAACCTGTTTTCTTCTTCTTCTTCTTCTTCTTCTTCTCTCTATTTTATTTTCATGCTTGCTCGTGCATATGCCTTCTAGCAGCTTTTCTTGTTAGTCAGTTGCTGTTGATTCAAGTTAATTCTTCTATTTGTTTAGTTTGGAGCTGCTCTCTCTGTTCTGCTGCGGAAGTTTTGAAGAGGTTTAATGGCGAGACTCATTCGAAATGCGTCTTTTGTTGGGCGCTGTCTGTTTCAGCACGAGGTTTCAATCACTTACTCTGTTAAAACTTCTTCGTTTCTTTGTAGAGTTCTTGGTGGTGTATGCTTTTGATTATTTTAACTACTTATAGTATAGACTGAGCCTTCTTAATCAAGGATGGAATACTGATGAAATATTTGTTGCATATTTCGCTTTTATGTCGTTTGGATTTTGACTTGACGATTGAGTTTCCGCTTGCTTCCCTTGCAGCGGTACAGGAGAGGCATATTGGGAACGTCTACTCAATTATGTAGTTTTTCTACCAAAGGTGTGAAACAATTGTTTTGGTTACATTATATGTGAAATGATGATATATAGTTTCATGGTTTTGAAGAACTTGAAATTTTTTAGACTATTTTGTTTGAAAACAACGTTTATTCCTTCATTCACGATCTCTTAGGGAACGTAGAGATGAATTTGCGATCGAGCTAAACTCCATTGGCACGAGAATAATGCTGATTCAGCTTGCATATTTTTTGTATGTGCAATGTATTGCGTTCATTACAATATATCTCAAATGTAAATATTGTATGAATCTGAAGGTAAAAGAAAGTCTAAGTCATCAGATGGGAGTGATTCTTGTGAAGAAAATTTGTCTAAGAAAGAGCTGGCCTTACAACAAGCCTTGGATCAGATAACTTCCACGTTTGGAAAGGGGTCTATCATGTGGCTTGGCCGTTCTGTATCATCTAGACATGTGCCTGTGGTTCCCACAGGTTCGTTCGAATTGGATATGGCTCTAGGAATTGGTGGCCTTCCGAAGGTATTTTACACTTCTTTAGGATGACTTTGTAAGGTTCAAACACTTTCTTAATCACATACTTTTGAATTGTTATATCTTTTATTTTAGAAGCCTATATGAAGTTCCTTTCCATGATCATCATGTTTCATGTTTGTGATATATAGGGTCGCGTAATCGAGATTTATGGTCCAGAGGCATCCGGAAAGACAACTCTTGCTCTGCATGTAATTGCTGAATCCCAGAAGCAAGGAGGTACTGTTTAAATGATAATTGTATGCGATCATTCATTCTATATGTGAGGAAATGAATGAGCACATTCACTCCCACTCTGTTTTATTCTTACTACTGGCTTCCACTTGTATTTGTAGTTCATTTGGATAATTTGGCTGGTTATGTTGGAAAAAGCTCCCAAAACAAATGGGCAGGAATATCGTAAAACTAACAATTAACAAATATAAAGATATTAATCAGTAAAATATGGTTTAGAAAGCCTGTTAGTTGGGACGAGGTGCACACCATGACTTTGCCCTTATAGAAGTCGTGCCCCCACTTGCGTTGAGTTTCTGGACACTCCACTCCCATGAGACGACTCCCTTCTAGAAAGCTTGTGTGCAACTAGGCTCTCTTGCAAATCCCCATTTATTTGTCTGCTCAAAGGAAGAAAAATTCTCTTTGTAATGCTCTCTGACAGAAATACTCACTGCCCATTATGAAGAGAATATCAATTAAAACCCTTTAAACAAGCAATAAAGTTCTGGAATTTCTTCTCAAAGGAAGGATCAATTAAATGAATCGCCCTTTCTTTATTTTATAAAACAAACTTTCTAAATCCTATTTTACTGGGTAATATGTTTATACTTGCTTGTTGTTGTTATGTTTACCATATTCCTGCCCATTTGTTTTGCAAACAATCTTAGAGCAGACATGGTTAGGAATACTGTTTGTATTTTTTGATGTTATGGCCTCTACTGATGAGTCTAAATATAATCCATTCAACCTGAAAATTTTGTTGGACAAAATTTCAAATGTTGGCAACAACGGATGGAACTTTGGCTCACTACTCTAGGTCTTTATTCTGTTATTTCTGTTAATGAAAAAGGAAAAGAAAAGGTCTATGAAACTTCTAAAGCTAGTGATTGTGACCCAATCATGACTACTAAGACTACTGCTGAAAAAATTTTCGAAGAAAATGATATTTTGTGCCATAGAAATATCTATAAAATTTTGTTCAACTAAAAGTTCTACAGAATTTTGGATAGCTTTAGATAGGAAGTATGGTTAGAAGAATTAAGCTTTAGAACATATGTGGTTGATAAATCGATTGACCTCAAAATGGTCGATGAGAAGTCTTTAGTTTAGACCATTTTCATATAACTCATGTTAAAACTGTTCATATATTTTTTTTTTCATCCTTTGAAAATTCAAATTAGTTTATGCTTTTTATTAAAAAAAAATAAAAGATTTGTTTGGAAGTGAAAATTTCAAAGTATAACTGTAACGGACATAAACATAATGTTGAAGTAATTTGTTTGGTGTTTTTGATGCAGGTTACTGTGTCTTTGTTGATGCGGAGCATGCTCTTGATCCATCCCTTGCTCAGGCTATTGGAGTGAACACTGAGAATCTGCTCCTATCTCAACCTGACTGTGGTGAACAAGCTCTTAGTCTCGTGGATACCCTAATCCGAAGCGGTTCAGTTGATGTTGTTGTTGTTGACAGTGTGAGTATGATTCAAACTCTTTTAAAGAAGACAGTTGGGGAAATTCATTGTTTTTATATGTTTTATGTTCTTTTTTCTTTTCCTTTTTTGGATAGGAAACAGTAACAATTTCGTTGTTCATGATTGCCTCTGTGGCAGGTAGCTGCTCTTGTGCCTAAAGGTGAACTCGATGGTGAAATGGGTGATGCCCACATGGCAATGCAAGCTAGACTCATGAGCCAAGCACTTCGCAAATTGTGTCATTCTTTATCCTTATCACAGACTGTCTTGATCTTTATTAATCAGGTCTTATTTCATTTCTCAATTGTCTCAGTAATATACTGCAATTTCTCACATTGTTATGGCATCACAATCTCTCAGTATTGCGCTTATTAGATGCATGCTTCTCTAGGTAAGGTCAAAGCTGTCCACTTTTGGATTTGGTGGTCCAACTGAAGTTACCTGTGGTGGCAATGCCTTGAAGTTTTATGCCTCAGTACGACTGAACATTAGAAGGGTAGCTTTTGCCAAGAATGGTGAAGAGGTACAAACATTATCATGACTCTAAAGGTGATTTCTCAATGGTTGGTTGATTTCTCGTCGTATTTTGATTACAGATAGTGGGAAGCCAAGTTCAAGTAAAAGTGGTGAAGAATAAGCTCGCTCCTCCATTTCGGACTGCTCAATTCGATCTCGAGTTTGGAAAGGGTATATGTAAAGAGTCAGAGATTATAAATCTGGGGTTGAAATACAAATTCATGTCCAGGGCAGGTGGATTTTATAGCTGTAACGGTCGAAATTTCCGAGGCAAAGAAGCCTTGAAAACCTTTTTGTCAGAGAATGAAGATGTTAGGGAAGATCTATTCACGAAACTTCGAGACAAAATACACGATGAGCAAAGAGGTAAGTCACCAAACAGAGACGAAACGGATGAAGGAAGTGTCCAAGAAGATATTATTACCTCACCCGATTCTACAGACGAAGACGCAGTTACTGCAGTAGAAGTATGAATGTCGAACATTTTTCATCCTCATTATCCTGGATGTATTCCTCCTCTCTCCTTGCCAATGCTATCAGAGTTCGACCAGGCATGACGTTTTGGGTCTCGATGAGATATTAATATCCTTAAGTTTCTGCCTCTGTCGTTCCAGTGATGGAAGATGATGCCCTTATAAATATCATAGCCATTTTCGTCACAGAGGAAATGTAGAAAATGGAGATTTTAGGACCTCAGAATGGCCAGTTTATGGTTGCTCATCCGAAGCTCCAATGCCTCTTTGTATTGCAACATTATGACTATTTCCAAATCAACTTCTTTTATTTGCTCTCTAATCACATCTTATCTGATTGCTCTTCTCACGAAATATTTTAACCGGTTGAGCTGAGTTTAGGTTGTTCATGTTACTTTGAGTTTAGGTTGTTCATGTTACTCGTTCTTACTCTTTTTGAAGCCTTCTTTCAATTTATAGCATATAAATCTCGATTTGACGTAAGAACGAAGAACGGTGGCTTGTGTTGGACATAAAATAATTCATTTTCTTATAGGGAAGATTTTAAGTTTCTAAATAGCGACAACAATACTACTCAACATATTTTATACTTTAAAATTTTATACCACCTATATTACACTGGTGAGGAATTGAAAATTTTGTGTCCGGGAGAAAGAATAAGTTTAGGGTCAAACTTGATCTTTCTTTGTCGGAAAGTTGGCCATTTGGAACCAAAATGGTGGATCCATTGTGATTGTGTGTTGTAATGAGGAAGATATTGTTTGATTTGAATGCCGGATTTCGTACAAAATTCTATTATCTCTTCGTTTTGTTCGTCAAACAACTTCCGTTCATCAAACCCACTTGAATGCAAAAACCCTATCGTGTAGAACACTTCTTCTTCTGGAATTACTGTCGAGTTTCTATCATCCCATCTGCATATTACATAAGCTAAATGTTATTAATTATTGTTGAGTTTCTGTCGAGAAGAACATGAACGTTTCGTATGAGCTTACTTTGATCAATTCATTGCATATATCAGCACTGGTCCTTTGGTTATGTTTCTTCTTAATACTATGTCTTTGAAGACACCTGAGTTGAAATCCAAGATACGGGATTTTGGTACTAACAAATTTAGCCATGGATGAGAAACGTCCCACAATCCCTTAGATTGAAGCTTCAATTCTCCAGTTCTAACCCTATTTAGAAACTCAACATACGTTACATCTTTCTCGAACTTGAACCCGCCCTCATAATCTAACCCTGCTAGTAATACTTCAAGCTCCTACAGACACAACATCAAAATAAACAAGCATTATTACACGGAATCGTGTTTATGGCACGTATTTAATACAATCAAAATTGATCA